TTGCCAGATGTTGGCATCTGATCGCATTGGTATAATCCGCCCTCAATCTGTCCGTTCCGCCGGGCAAATCCTCCCATGTGACCGGGTCCAGAGAAACACTGGTCTGAAAGTTTGTTTCTAGGGGATATAATGTGATGGGTTGATAGAGCTTTTAAGGCTGGTGTGTGTGTGTGTGTGTGTGAAGGGACTGCAATATTTAAGCAAAACCTAAGTGAATGGTAGGTGTTAATGCTTTCAAGAAAACTTCTTTGCATTGTTGTATTTGTGCATTTTGTGATATGGTACATGCACTCTGGATCAATCCAGTATTTTACTGAAAATTATAATGTGGAATACTCCTCTTCTGTAGAAGTTTAATGACATAGCTTTCAAAGGATTCAGTGGTGTTAAAAGCTTCCTTAAAAAAAAAAGAAAAAGACATCACTCTCATTAATGCTATCCCACATCTCTGAATGTGTGGCAATATTTTGATGGATCTAGGCTAGGGATGCCAGCCTCCAGGTGAGACCTGAGGACCCCCCAGAATTACAGCTAATCTCCAAACTACCGAGATCAGTTCCCCCGGAGGAAATAGCTCCTTTGAAGGGTCAACTCTGGCCCATTCCGCATGTGTACTTTCCCTTGGATATACAATTGCATTCCAATGTTTCTAATTTTTTGCTCCGCAAGTCATGTTCTCCATGTCGGGTCAATGTCGGAGTTTCGTTGTTTTGGGTTTTTTTTTCCCCCAGAGCACTTATAGGGCGATTTTCGCCCAGGGTGATATGTAATTTTTAGTAGCCAGCAGTGGGGAATCTCCCCCCCCCCACATTGTTTTGCTGTATATATCACTCTTATTTGTGTTTACTGCAGTGGACTTTCATCGATGTGTTACTCAAAATGGCGCAGGATAACACATGATCAGTAGCCATCTTGTATCCGTCTTCTTTAAAAAAACAAGTGACTGTTCTCAATTTAGTGCTAGTGCACAGTATTGCTAGTGTTGACCGTGCCACTTAAAAAAGGGGGAAGGTGATCTGATGGCAGCGATGACAACATCACTGGAATCTGATACTTATTTAAAATGTTTGTGGTGCCGAACGTATTCTGGGGCACTTTTTGTAATCATTTTGATTTGCGTTTTTTGAAATATACAGTGGGGGGGAATATGGGAACACTCCACTGAATTGGTTTTTCTTTTTTGTCCTTTTAAAAACAGTTGAATATGACAAGGACTTCGCACCTTATCAGCGACACCACAAGGAGTTCAAATTTAATTTGTCTCAGATTCCTGAAGGAGAGACAGTCACTGCTGCTGAGTTCCGAATCTATAAAGACTGTGTCTTTGGAGGCTTTAAAAATCAGACTTTTCTGATTACCATCTATCAAGTCTTACAAGAACATCAGAACAGGTATATGCCATTTCTTGATGAAATTGTGACACTGAGCGATGGGGGAGACTGGATGTGTGCATGAGGAGAAAAATGTAAAGTGATCAAGGATATGCTTATATAATTGAGTGTAATTTGGTCTGACTATTTGTTTGTTGCTTATAAATGTTATATGTTTTTAATCACAGTAGCTCAGGGCTGGCCAGTTGAAAATGTAAAGCTCCCCGGCCACCGGTGGGGAGTCGGGGTATGATTGCCAGCTCCAGACTGGGAGCTCCTGCAGATATGGGGGTGGAGCCTGGGGAGGACAGGGACCTCAGTGGGGTGCAATGCCATGGACTCCAACCTCCAAAGCAGCCATTTTCAATAGGAGATCTGATCTCTGTAGTGAGGAGATGAGGTGTAATTCTGGGGGATCCCCAGGTCCCACCTGGAGTCTGGCATCCCTACTAAAGCCTGCCTCATTCTTGACTAAAATCCAGGCCACACCACTTTTTATTTATGTATAAATTGGATGTATAAATTGCTCAGTATCTGAGGCTCTGTGTGATGAACAACGATAATAAAACATATAACCAAACAATACCAATAACTTAAAAGCTGATTAAAATAATTTCATAGTGAACAATATTCAGATGGAGTTAGTATATACAATTTCAACTTGCGTCCCGGTCTCTTAGGAAGATAGGTGGGAGCGGAGGGGGGGAGTAGGAGGAAGCCCATTGCTGTCCTCAACCAAAGGCCCAGTGGAACACCTCTGCCTTGCAGGCCCTGCAGAACTTCATCAGGTCCCCATGGTGCTCCTGTCAGGACTCACGTCGCTGCATTCTGGATCAGCTGGAGCTTCCAGATCAGTCTCAAGGGCAGGCCAGCGTCAAGCAAGTTACTGTAATCCAGTCTGGAGGTGGCCATTGCGTGGACTACTGTGGCTAGATCAGGGCGAGACAGGAAAGGGGCCAGCTGCCGTGCTTGGCACAAAAGGAGAAATGCCAGCTTGGCAATATTAATGGACCATCATAGATAAGGAGGCATTCAGAACCATGCCCAAACTTCTGACAGTCTGTGCTGGTGACAACGGCACGCTGTCAGAGGTGGGAAGTTGGCGCTCCAGCCCCAACACACACACACCCACCAACCACAGAACCTCCATCTTAGTCAGATTCAGCTAACTCTTCTTCAACCATCCCACCACAGCCTTTAGACTTTCGGCCAAATTTTGCGGGGCGGTGTCTGGGTATCCATCCATTAACAGATATAGCTGAGTGCAATTAGCATACCCAAACTTTGTACCGGCTGGGCAAGGGGGTGCATATAGATGCTAAACAACATCGGGGACAGGATAGCCTCTTGAGGAACCCCACATGTTAAGGAGTACCTAGTTGACACCCTCTCCCCTAGCTCTACCCTCTGTCCCCAACCAATGAAAAACCAGGTGAGCCACTTCAAGGCTGCCCCACGGATTCCCATGTCAGCAAGGCAGTGGGTTAGACGCTCATAGTCGACTGTGTCGAACGCTGCTGCGAGGTCAAGTAACAACAGCAGTGCTGACCTGCCTCGATCCAGCTGTCTGCGGAGATGGTTTGCAAGGGTGACCAGCACCGTCTCTGTTCCATGGCTGGGGCCAAAACCGCACCGGATTGGGTCCAGTGCCAATGTGTCATCCAGGAAACTCTGGAGCTGCTCGGCTACCACTCTCTCAATCACCTTTCCCAGAAACTACGAGTTTGAAACTGGGTGGTGATTGGAAGGATCCTTCACTGTGGTGAGGTTGTAACTCTCGTTCCACCTCTTCTCATATTGTGATTCTGATTCATCATCTAACAGATTGTTTTCAGAGTTTCCAGAACTGGGACCCACCTTTCACTGGCCTTGGGCATCTATGTATTTGTGGCACCCCTGTACTCGAGGACCTACCTCACTATATCCTCTTTTGCCCACTGTGTGACAAGAGTGTTGGACTAGATGGGCCATTGGCCTGATCCAGCATTGGCTTCTCTTATGTTCTTACTCCAGTCCAAGGGCTAAATTTTTAGCTGGTATTTTATCTGGTCTTAGTATAAACCCAGTTGAGGATCAAATCTCATTTTTGTTATCTGACACTGATGCATATCTTTCTTACAAAGTTTCATTACTGCTGCAAAGAAATGGGAAGGGGCATTATCTAGGTTATTGTATTAAATTAGTCATATTTTGCTACTGACTGTCGGTACTTCTGTATATTCTGATATTAGCCTACAGCTTGTTCATAATCTGTATTTTTCTTGCTGAGAGTTTTGTGACCTTGTAACGGCCAATGGCTAATTACAATAAACTGAACTGAACTGAACACTGGCCTTGGGGAGCCCACTAAGCGACAAGCATGTGACAGGAAGCATTTCCAGGACTGGCTGGGTCCCAGTTCTGGAAATGCTGAAGACAATCTTATTAGGTGAAGAATACAGTAGGAAAGTGCACATGAGGACTGGATAAAGTGAATGAATTCTGTGCGGTGGAGTGAATGAATATGGAGACGGGAAGCTGAAGCTGAGGGTGATGCAGTTTTGCAGGAGAGTGTGGGGATTTGTGAGACACCAAGAGCTTGTTGAAGAGATTAGTGGAGTGAGTTTGCTTGTTATGTGGGCGGAGGCGTCCAGAGTTTGTGCATGTGTGATGTATATTTTCCCAATCATATTCCATATGTGGAGTACATTTTAACGGGTGTCCTTTATGTGTTCAGCTGCTCTAGTGGATAACTTGGCTCCTCCTTTTGCAAACCCGTCTTCTTTGGCTGCCTGAGAAGACATAAAAAGCCCAGACCCTGTCATCTGATACTTGCACAAGATGTATCGGATTAAGCCCCTTTCTGTGTGGATGTTCCAAGCATCATTAAAACACTGTGTTGTTGGGTTTTTTTTTTTTAAAAAAAAATATTGTCTGGGATTAAACAGCTGTTGGCATTTTTAAGAAATGAGATTATTTGATTTAAAAATCCACAGAATGCAAGATATGTGTCAACAGCCGGGTTTTAAAAAATGTTTTGATCAGAGTAAATAACTCTGGTTGTGAAATTTCAGACGTGTGCTCCATTTTGGTCACATCACGGGTGCATTTTGTCCACCCTATATGTACTTCAGAGGGCACTAGGGTGGTGGAAAGTGACATTGAGTCACAGCTGATTTATGGCACCCCTGTAGGGTTTTCAAGGCAAGAGACGTTCAGAGAGTGTCTCTGTGTCGCGACTCTGGTATTCTTTGGAGGTCTCCCATCCAACTTCTAGCCGGGGCCATCCTTACTTAGCTTCCGAGACTGGGCTAGCCTGGGGGGGGGGGAATCTTGGGCCTGTGGAAACCCGTTGCCAGTCACTTTAATGGTGCCAGTATCTTTAGGTTCTTATTTCGGGGCCATGTGCTAGCAACTGTATCCAGGGAACTCATAAGATAAACACCTCCCCACATGTATAATGCTTCTTTCTACCTTGACTTCTCAGTGGATGCTTTGAGTAATTCATAGACAAATTTATTTAAACTAATTTTATCCTCGGATTATTGGTGTACTAGAAATAAGGCCCGTTGTGGAAATAAATACAACGGGAGCTAGAAAGAGGCTCTGGGAGAGTGCTCTGGCTTTGGGCAAACAGTGTCAGTCTGCTTTTAAAACATGAACCTGGGACCTGCACACCACCAGAATACAGCAGGTTCCATATGCAACTGACATTCCAACTGCCTTGCCGGGGGGGGGGAGTTTGAGGTGTGGAATGGAGTGAAGTCCAATCAGCTTCCATATGCAAAAGACCAGGTTGTCGCAGCAGTTGTGGTGTGGGCGGGACCCGGGCTTTGCCTTCTGATTGGTGGTGATATATGCTGAGGAGCAGTGCCATCAGCCATACACTAAGGGAGTGCATTTTAGAATTAGAACTTTGGCACCCACTATTCAATTTTATATAAGGAGAGATGATCCCCCCCCCCTTTTCTTTAATTTAAGATTAAAAACCTCTGCACAAGTGGCTGACATATTATTCCCCATTCTTGCTTATTTTGTGTTGATGATTCATTTGGAATATATTGTTTTCTTTTCCTATTGGGAACAGACTTTGAAAACCCAAGAGGAGAGAAGCACAGGTTTTTTTAAAAAAAATACAAGCCAGCAAAACTTTGTCAGGCACTGAGTTCCAGCAACTGCTTCATAGAAGCCAAAAGCGAACAGCTGCTTTTTACTTAAAAGGCGGTCTTGTCAGGCTTTTCTTTCAGATTAAAGATCTGGATAAAGATGTCAGGTCTCTTGACATTAGATGACATGGTTTGAAGTGATGATGACCCTATGGAGAACCTGCATTGTAGCCAAAGAAAGATTTGTTTTTTTTAATTTGGGGGTGGGATGCACATTTTTGTTTTCTTTTGTTTCCGGGTTAGGTTTTATGGAAGCTGACCTGGAGAAACCCAGCCTGTATTGTGTATAGTAGGGCTCTCAAAACTTCTTAGGCAAATGCCAGGAAATTTGGTGGGCGGTTCTGGGAGAAGGCGTAGTTTACGGAGCATGTGATGTAACTCCCAGGTGAATCCTAGGAATTTCCTCCAATCTCTTACAGCATGGTAAAGATCACTTACAGCACGGGCACAACTGTGGTTGGAACAGCTGCTATATCAAGTTCATGTGGGTAGATCTGCATGAAGGGTGTTGAATTATGGTCGTTTTGGGGATCCAGAAGAGAACTATCTGTGCCAGTAGTGTTTGACAAATGTTGCATAATTTGGAAATGGCCTTAGTTGGACTTCTAGTCAACTTTATTTAACCAGCTCATTCTTGTCTTATCTGCCTTTTGGGTGTTTTACTTTATTTTATTGTGCTGTGTTTTGCTAAATTTCCTATATTGGAAGTCTGGCAGACCCAGGGAGGTAGAGTGTAGATTCCATGGTTTGAATCTCACCTGAACTTCTCAACATCTCCCTGCCTGCTTCTTTAATCTTCTGGATAAATATGAGGAAAATTATTTTCTTTCTTTCCATTACATCTGAAGAAGAGAGCTCTGATTCTCAAAATATCAT